CATATTTAAAGGAAACAAAATCAATTACTTTTTTTCCCACAGAGAGAACGGTTAAATTACGGAACATCTTCCTGCAAGACATTGTAATAAGGGTCAAGAGTACATATGGCCTCACCAATTCATTATGCAAACTGAAAAATAGGTAAGACCTACTAAGCTGTAAATCTACTGAACAGAGGACAACTTTATGTCAGACTGCCAGTAGCAAAAGAGGTATACCAAGATAAGAATCACTTCGTGCTTGCTCTGTCCTTATGCTTATTCCCTCAGCAGCACTTATCACCCAAATCAGAAATAGGGCGGGATGCATCTTTGGTCTGATCCAGAACGGCTGGTTTTCATTAAGAAACAAAATCTCCTTTCTGTTTTGTCTATTCTATTAAGTACTGCAAAAGAAAGTATTGTTTTCACATTCCTAGAAAGCAACTTATTACACTTAAAGTATTAAGCCCAGTACATCTGATTTTACTTTAAGTGCCAATAAACTCCATTTCATAAGGTAAGCTTCTACAGAGCAAATGGAAAACTTAGCAAAAACAAGGTACCTTGCAACTGTACTTGCAAGAGGCAAGTGCTCACTGTACAAAAAAGTGGATAAAATTAGTTATCTTTTGACTTTATTTGATATGTCCTTCTAGTTGTATTATTGTAGTGACCAAGGGAAATCATAATTTATCATGCTTTATCCTGCATATTTTTATTCAAATAGGGAACATGACAAAGTTCAATTCCTCACTACCATGCTCTCCTCAGACAGAAGCTTCTGAGGAGAAGAAGCTCATAATTCTCAATATCATCTAAAATTAGGATCTAAGCAAATAATTTCAGTGTCTCTCCAACATCCCTTATCATACAGTGTAGTACTTTGCAGGAAAGTTGTAACTAAATCAATTTCTCATCAGACTCTTTGTTCCTCAGTTAAATAATCTGTCACTCCTATTTGTGCAACACACCAGTAGATATATCATTACAGCAGTTAATGATGGTTTTAAATATAAACTGCTTCAAGTTCCATTACCCAAGAATTTAGCAGAGTATTACATAAGTTCATGCATAATATAAAAAAATTACAATCATAAAGTATTTTTAGTCTTAACCTAAGAGCAAAATGGAGTACACTGTCTCAAAACAAAAAATTCACTGCTTGCTCCAGCATTTGATCTAAAGTGCCAGCCAGTGAAAGACTTGCTAAGGAACTGCATGATCCAAGCCTACTGAAAACACTCTCAGAGGGAAAGGTATGTATTTCAACAGTTTACTCAAGCCTCATTTAGAAACATCTCTGTTAGCTTGCAACAATGATTAAAGCAAAATTAGGTTTAGGGAGGCATTATGCATCCTCGATGACCTACACTGCCTGTGAAATTAGACAGTGTTTATTAAAAAGGTAGTGTTTATTGAAAAGGAACACTGCGAGTTCCTTTGGAATGAACAGCTGTAATCACCAAAAAATGTAAAGAAAAGACTAGTCAGAAAAGAGGCTTCTAAATGGCACATATATATAACCATTGTTTGCTTAGAAGCTAAAAGCAAGCTTTGGTGATATACACTCACAAATTCATCATGCTTAAGTCAAATGATTCACCGTTTGATCAAATGTTTAATTTTAGCAAACTAAATTGAGAAAAGAACCAGATTGGCATGGCAAGGATCTGATGATACATAAGCGACTGGAAAATCCAGACTCATAAATAAACTCTGAATTGAGCCTGCACAGAACTCTTGGGGCACAGTGTCTCATCACACATATGCATACAGTGTCAGAGAAAGGCAGAGCAAATGCCAACATCGCTCAAACGCCCTGCTGGAATGTTCTCAAATAATATTAATATCAGTTTTAGCTGACTACAGTACCTTATAGTTGCCAGAACTGAGCTGAAACTATTCATACTGTGTTTTCAATCAGCTTCCTGCTGACTGCCACCATTTGAAGAATGGAATTCATTTGTTTTACGTCTATTAACATATTTCCTTCTTTTCTGGCTCTAAGGCACTAAATGCTGTGCTATGGCATCAGTCTGGACAATAAAAAGATAACCAGCAGCCACTACAGTACAAATAGAATTGTAAAAGTATTACCCTTTCTGACATACTCTTTTCATAGCATATGCTACCACCAGCTTACAAGGCCCTTCTATGCATAACACCATTTAACAGTAGTATCCCCAGCCCTCTTGTTTCACTCACAAGTAAAACCTTCATGGAGATATTTAAAAGCCAAAGGAAAATTGACAACATGTAGGTCATTAAAGAGTCAGCCTCATCTCTAATAACCAAAAAGGTTGAACTGGAATGTAATACATTCAGTAATATTTCCATGTATTTATAAAATCTTCAACCTTGAGCTCATATACACCATAAGAGGAAGTCTTCTGAAATCTAGTAGTCTAAGAAAAATTAAACATTACATGATTCTACGACTCTCTGGTCTGATAACTAGTAAAATTAACCAAGAAAGCATTTTTCCAGGTCATAAGAATCAGAAGTTAAGTACAGCATACTTTAGTTGAAGTAATCTAAAGTAAAAACTTGCATACTGAACCCTTTCCAATTTTTGTACATTAAGACTATTCCAATAAATAGTGAGATAGTTGATAATGACTGAAGTTGAAGATACAAAAATAGGGAGAAAAGGGAGCAAAATATTTCCAAACACTAAGTTGTATGAATTTTTCAAAAATAACAAGAATATTAATGAGGTTTCCCAATTTAGACTATCTGGGTAAGTGAATTGATTTTGTAAAATACAAAGATCATCTCAGTGATTCATTTAAACTTCACTTGAGCAGAAATGACAGACTAGAGATTCTAAAAAGAAGGGCAAGTCTGCAGATTTAAGGATGGATTCAAAAAAGGTAAGCAAATGTTAGTTGTTGACCTTAAGCAGATGTTTCAGAAGTTCTTAACAGCCTCACTCCAAAGTATCTTCTTTCAGCTGTTCATTTTTCAGTCTCTTAGATCTTGAAACATCAAGAGTTTAGTAGTTTTCCAGTCTCTAAAGATTCTTGAAACCTAGAGAATCTGAATTTCTAATATAAACCCAAGTCTTTTAAAAGAAGAACCCCTCCAACTTCAATGCAATAGTACATACTAGTCTGCTCCTGTAATCTCTTTGCATGCCATCACTATCAACATGTGTCTCTGGAGCCACTTCTATCTCTGTTCAACCAATAGGCAAGGTTTAGCACAGTAACCCACAGCTTAATTTCATTTTAATACTTCTTTCAGTCTTTTCCTTAATGTTTCCTGTCACTGTGGCTTACTGCAGAAAGCATGTATCTTACTACAAAAAAGTCCTGTAAGCATCAATAAAATCAATTTAAAAAGCCCCCCAAAACGCATCATCTTTTTACTTGGTAAAATCTAGACCTTACTGTTTGATCTGCAGACACAGAATTGCTCTGCTGCTTATCTGGCTTGGGCTCACTCAAAAGGAGCTGTGAAAGGGCTCTCAACCATTGCACTGACAAGGACCAGAAAACGTATTTACTGCTCCTCTACACTGCCTTATTTATAAATTCAATGGAAACTACATTAAATTACAAGTTTCAGAACTTTTCATAGCTTTAAATGTCCTGGCCCAATTTTCCAAAACGTGACTTGACAGATATTAAGATGACACGAAAGTCATAGGTAAGACACTGTCTTAAGACATGTCACTGGTCATAACCGTAGCAGAAATCAAGAGCAGCAGAATGTCAACTTCAGACAAATATGAAAGTTGCCATAAAACTGTAACCCCTCAAGAACTCCTGACAATGCAATTTCAATAGAAAGGCACATCTGTACTGATTTACCAGACAACAGCTCAAGCACTAGCAAGACCTAGATAAATAAGGTCATGTAGTCACTTTTTCAAGACTGAAAAGTACAGCAATCAAGTGTGGAAACTGACAGAACAGTTTTTTTAAGTGGAAAAATAGATATTTACTTTGCCACTATGCACTGAAATGCACCTGGCAGACACTTAAAGACACTGAAAAACAGGCATTCAGTGTATTAGTGGGGAAAAAAATGAGTGTTTTGTTCCACACCGCTCTCTTTCAAAACTATCATATGAAAACACCCCTGCATTGATGGCACTCTGAAGGGAAAAAAAAAAAAAGGGAGGGCAAAAATATACCATTTGATATCTGCTTATGCAAGGGAAGCATGTTTTAAAAAATATCAGCTTTAAAGGCAATGGGTTTTCTTGAGAGCCTCCTGTAACCGTTAAGCAGATCCTTGAACACAAAGCACCAGATTTTCTTCTCGTTATCAAAACACCCTGAACTAGCCAAGAAGTTGAGCCCAGAGAAAAAGTTCACTTTCAACTTTCTACAATTCTCCCATAAGTATCACATTACAGAAGTCAGTGCACTGCATTAGAGATAGCAAAAACTTGCCCACTACTTTACAAAAAATAATCAGACACAAATATGGGAGCCTAACAAAAAAAAAAAAAAAAAAAAAAAAAAAAAAAAAAAAAAAAAAAGTCTGCATTTATTATCTGTTTTGCAAGATCACTCCCAACAGGGCCAAGGCATTTGTTGCAACTCACGCTTCTGTCATAACTCAAAAATGAGATTTAATTTACAATCCTGCCACTTTAATAAACCAACCAAATGCACAGTTACATCACTAAATCACTCTTACTGCATCTTTCTCTCAGCCTCCACTTCCCCACAGTACCTTAAACTGCATGACATAAATCCCAAGAAGGTACAATCACAGAGAAGTGTAAATCTCAGGTGGGCCCTCAAAAGTCTATTTAGTCACATATTCCTTGAATTTTCCATAAATAAGAACATTAGGGAATAATGCTGCTGTGATAGACACTAAAGACATTTTATGATGATGTGTATCTGCTAGACCCTCTCCCATGATACATCTGATTAAAAAGAAAAAAAAGTCAGTAACGGAAATATCTTCAACAGACACAACCCTAGAGGTGGCAGTTTAGAAAGGAACAGTTTAGTTATTTTTTTTTTTCACCTTTGGCAAACAAAAATTATCCCTACCTCCTTCTTCCTCCAAGGGTATCAGCAAGCAGCTAAAAAGGGCCTTATCTATTAAGAACCACTTCACTTTCATAAGGTGGAGAAAGAAGTATATTTTTGTCTTTAGCTTTTTTCCCTCATTAGTTATGCTGCCCTGAGTGATTTGTAGCGACAGTTCTCCGTTCCCGGGAACGGGGCAGGGATGCGTCAGGGACACCCGTCAGGGCGCCCAGGGGGCCGCATTACTCATCTGCGCCTTAGAGGAGCTAAAGGCAGGCCCCGGAGCACAGCCCACAGCCCCAGAGGAGGGGCGGCCCCTCCAGGAAATCTACGTGCCTGGGGAAGCGGCCGGCCCGCCCCCGCCGGGCTGCCGGGAAGGCCGCGGTGTCCGGGCGGCGGGGGGGCCACGGGCGGCCTA